GAGAGGTGGGGGGTGAGTGAGATGGGGTGGGGGAGGTGGGGTCATTAGAAGTGGCAGGGAGTAGATAACCTAAACAGATTATCCATCTGCTGCCTCTCTGACATCGCACTGGACTCACCAAGGTTAGCGTCCAAGAGTAAGACAGATAGACAGAGAGATAGGAGAGATAGATAGACATTACCGTACTCACCAAAGTTAGCGTCAAACACCAGACTGTCTACATTACCCTTCTAGCCAAAGTTAGCGTAAAAAAACAAGACTGTACCGTACTCACCAAAGTGTGCGTGATCGACTAGGACACACAGATAGATAGATAGATAGATAGATAGATAGATAGATAGATAGATAGATAGATAGATAGACATTACCGTACTCACCAAAGTTAGTGTCAATGACAAGGACACATAGACAGATAATCTACACAGACATTACCGTACTCACCAAAGTTAGCGTCACAGTCTAGGACAGATAGATAGATATATAGACATTACCGTACTCACCAAAGTTAGCGTCACAGTCTAGGACAGATATATAGATAGATAGACATTACCGTACTCACCAAAGTTAGTGTCAATGACAAGGAAGGACACATAGACAGATAATCTAGACAGACATTACCGTACTCACCAAAGTTAGCGTCAACGACTAGGACAAACAGATAGATAGACATTACCGTACTCACCAAAGTTAGCGTCAAAGACCAGACTGTCCACACTGGCGTCGCTCTTGGCGCTGATGCTGCTGGTGTCGTCCGTGAACTGCTCACTGCGCATGCTCGAGCGTGACGTGGTGGACATGGAGCAGGACTTGGGCTGCACGGGCCGGGACTCACGAGACAGCTGCAGGTCCTGGGGGTGTTTTAGTTGTAGTATAGGTTTTACGGCGCTCTCAACTACATAAGGTCATATGAGCGCCAGAAGATTAGAGGTGTTACAAGAGAGTAACAAACAAAAAAAGGAGGGGAGATTAGGACGATTGAGGTGTTTGATAGGAAAGAAGGAGCAACACCACAACAGAGCACCCGCCAACCACCCACCTAGGGGATGTGGGTAGTGGGGGAAGGGGTGGGGGTGGGGGGAGGGGGAGATGTTGGGGGAAGGTTTGGGGAGGCGGAGGGGTGAAGGTGTGAGTGAGAGGAAAGGGTGTGGTTGGACGAGAGTAGGTTGGGTTGGATGTGTGGGAAGGTGAGGAGAGGGAGTAGAAACGTTTGTTACCATCATCATCGTCGTCATCATCAACAGTCTAACAGCAATAATATCAA